GGCTGTGTGTGTGTGGTGCTTTGTGTGTGTGTGTTGTGTGTGTGTGTGCGCGGCGTGCGTGGCGTGCGATGGCTGTGTTGTGTGTGCGTGTGTGTATGCTATGCGTGTCGTATGTGCGTGTGTGTGGTGTGTGTGTGTGTGTGCTGTGAAGTGTGTGTGTGTGTGTGTGTGCGTGTGCGTGGCAGTGTGTGTGTGTGGTGGTGTATGTACGTGTGTATGTGCGGTGTGTGTGTGATGTGTGTGTGTGTGTGTGTGTGTGTGTGGTGTTGTGTGTGTGCCGCGCCGGTGCGCGGAGCTCGTTGCGTGCGTGCATGTGCTGTTCAGCGTTACGTGTTCAGTTGCTTTGCGTGGGCTGTCAGTGCGTGGCGGTGCGATCGTTCGTGCCGCGGCAGGGATATTGTGTAGCGCTCATTGCGTGCAACGCTGCGGCTGTGTAATTTCTGAATTTGTGTCAATATATGTCATCACTTCCTGCAATTCAGGACAGTTTATGCCGACGACAGTAGAACGTCAAGATGCGATAGCTATGGACGGCAGGGGCCTGGAGTAAGCGAGGCGTCTTGCGTTACATTCTAGTTAGTCCACTAACAGCCTATGAGCAGTTGGATGGCGACACTCTCAGCGCGATGAAGTGAATCGAGGTCGGCTTTTGCAAGCGTTAACCACTAGATTGTATAACCAACGTTAGCATTTTAGAATTGGTCGGACGGGAGAGAGTGGGGATGTTTTTGGATTCAGCGCGGCTAGCTTGCGGCGAAGTGGCAACCGCATAGGCCAAGGCGGAATGTCTTTTTTCACAAATTATTCTGCCCTCATACTATTGGACATGCTAGCGCTAAGCGCTGTCCACGCGTGTCATGGACCTTGTATTGAGTCTTTAAAGAAAGCAGCGAGGCTTCGGTTTCCAACTCGATTCAAGCACAGTCAATAAACTTTGCCGTGTCAAGCCTCTGTTGCTTTATTAACGGCTCTTATGGACATATTAAACTCTTGTGTAAAAAAAATACGTGCCGGAGTCCGATTTTAAAAAAGAGCGCACTCACGAAACGCAAACAACCGTGTAACAGAGCCGGAAAATTGTTTTCCTGGCCCAAACTTGACCACTTTTCTCCCCCCGCGTTATTTTGTGCCAGTCACGTGTGACTACACGCGTAACCAGATAGCTGTTTATATCGTTCGCGTGTGTAGTCCTGACTTCATGCCAAATTGCTCGCTCTCGTGTGCTTGCTGAGACACATTTATAAGAGTTGCTGCTCTAGACATCTACTCTAGACAGCAGCAGCCGCAATAGCAGCAGCAGTATTATCAATCGTCAGCGTCGCCGTGGTCATGATACATCACCATCAGCTGAATTGGCGCAGGAACAGCACTTAACATTTAACAGTGGGGTTCCTTTGTAGGTTTCCATTGCAGTTTCAGTCTTTACTTGACACGGACGCCCATCACTTAAACTTAACAGTTGAACCTCATTTTATACTTTATATATATATATAGGCACACGACGTTTCTATAAGGTAGGGCGTTGACAAGCGCCCTTCTTCCCTCGCCAAAAATGTCCCGAATCGTGGGAAATAAAGCGGCTCCTGACTTGTTTGTGTTGTGTGATGTGTGTTGTGAGAGAGAGAGAGAGAGAGAGAGAGAGAGAGAGAGAGAGAGAGAGAGAGAGAGAGAGATAGCGAGGCGAATGAGATAGACAAGGAAGGTACACAACAGACGCCTAGCAATCTCGCTACCTGCCCGTTTTACCTACCTGTGCGCTCTATCTAACAGCCATGCCTCTTCCACCTGTATGTTCTCTCTACCTGCAGGTAATCCGTTGTCTCCCATGCGTGCCCTAAACCGGCCCACGAATCGGCACAGTTCAGCAGCATTAGGCCAGTAGGTTGCTGTCCGGGGCTGAACGAGTCGCCATCAAAGCAGGAGGAGAAGAAACTCCGCTACCAGACTGCCTCCGCGTAGTCGCCTGTACCTTCCCTCCCCTCACCAGCCAGAGACATCCAGGTAGCATAATTTGGTTGCTGGTAACCACGGCAACACCCCCGCGTCTGACGCTCCCGCAGCATCGGGGTTTGGTTGCTGGCGTTGTTTTTCGCGCTGCAGCTATTTTTTTTTACAATCATTGATCAACAAGCGATGGTGCGAAGACCTCCGTGCTCTCGGGAAAAAATACTTAATTGCGATGACCACTCACAAGAGAAAAGCAGAACAAGCCAATGCTGAATCGATCCTGTACGATAAACACACCGCAAGCCACACAATACGGCTTCTGTGTGATAACCCATCTATCCAGTGTATCCTTCTGCCGAGATGCAAGTATGAGCTTGCCACGTCAGAAGTTACATTCCATATAGACGTGAGCCTATAGATACAGCCAGCCATCAACAATTTACTCTCCGACTGATTAATAAATAGACACGCATGCACATAGAGACATGACATGACACTCCAGCCTACTATAGAGGACCGCCTACTAAGAGCATCTTCTTAGGCTACTAGACGAAGGAACGGGGAATAGCCACCGGTTACCTAAAACTGCCCTTCGCCCCCCAAGAGAACAGCTTAGAAGGTAGCTACTGGCTACGCTGGGCTTCCTCCCTGCCGGAGGGGTAGCTCTTTGAAGATAGCTACTGGCTATAAACAGAGATTTCCGTACCTAAAGCAGTGAGCGCAAAGGTTTTTTCTCCACGCGTTCGCTTCGAACGTCTCGCACGCCTTTTGCATCGACGCGGCGACGGCCTGCCGTGCCGCCCTTTGCTCGAACATGCCTGCGCTCGCGGCGACGCGACCACGGCCACCGACCACCGCCTCGGCGTGTGCGTCACTGTGCGACGGCGCTCTGAAAGAGGAATGTGAATGAACGAACCGCGCTTCCAGTCGGAACACAGTCGCAGTCCAGTGTGTTCCAGTCACAGTCCAGTGTGTTCCAGTCACAGTCCAGTGTGTTCCAGTCACAGTCCAGTTTGTTCCAGTCACAGTCCAGTGTGTTCCAGTCACAGTCCAGTGTGTTCCAGTCACAGTCCAGTGTGTTCCAGTCACAGTCCAGTGTGTTCCAGTCACAGTCCAGTGTGTTCCAGTAACAGTCCAGTGTGTTCCAGTAACAGTCCACTGTGTTCCAGTAACAGTCCAGTGTGTTCCAGTAACAGTCCAGTGTGTTCCAGTAACAGTCCAGTGTGTTCCAGTAACAGTCCAGTGTGTTCCAGTAACAGTCCAGTGTGTTCAAGTAACAGTCCAGTGTGTTCCAGTAACAGTCCAGTGTGTTCCAGTAACAGTCCAGTGTGTTCCAGTCGGGGTAGGAACACAGCTAGCGCCAGTAACGGCGGACAGGATCCTCGTTATATATATATATATATATATATATATATATATATATATATATAGTTAGTACGTAACGTAAGTACGTT